TTTCCTCTCTTCCAAAAGCAATACAAAACTTGCATAGCGCCTCTGACACATCTCCACTGAGTGTTGGCACAGGATGTATACCAAGTTCTATTTCGTAGGACGGAAGATAGCGCTGACGAGGATCTGGCTGCTTGAGTTTGGCTTGTTTCAGCTTAAGTGGACGAGGCTTTGGCCGTAGTGTACGCGTTTTTCTTTTCTTCTTCTGTGGAGACATGGTGCTCGGCAAAGAAAACTCGAAATTAGAGGAGAATAGAAGAATGAACAGGGCGGGGCCGTTTTGAAACCGACGGGGTTCCGAGTACACGTAGTTTGTATGGAAATTTGCTGGTCTTCAAATAGGCGTCCGCCAAAACTTAAATTAGGCATTGTGTATTTTCTCGCAACACAAATCCTAGATAGAAGAGGCCTGCCAATGGTACGTGCACACTCAAGCCATATGCACAGTAAAAAAAGAAGCGAACGCTACTTAGGGTAAAAAAAGCTTATTTCTAGTTGGCTACTATTCTAACTGCTAATTTCCTAGTAGGCCATGTTGTCAAAATAGACGAAACATGCTTAAAAAAAGGAAGAATACAATCATGGAACTCGCTACCCAGATTATGGGTGTTCCGTAGTGTAGACCACACTACTAAAAGTGCTTTGCGAGGTACGTCTACAACGACCACACGAAATATACGTTGTCTGCGCTCATATCAATCCAGGGTAAGCTTTGACACTCTGTGGGTACATGACTAGTGAAAATGACATTACGTGGCTATGTTAGGGCTTTCATCATCTCCGATATGTCAATGCGTACGTCATTCAATTTCAGCGTGGTTGTAACAGGGGCAAATGATACACTTTATCTAGCTATCCACACTTGCGTGGCATGCGCTACCAACATCTATGGGTTAACCTTAGCAGGAACATCAAGCATCGATCGACTGGTGCCCACATGAACCGTATTGAGGGCGTGTGGGAGGTAAAGACCAAGCAGCGTATTAAGGATGGACGGGGCACGAGGAAAACGGTGGTGGCGCGATACCTTGGTGAATGCATGTGGCGTAAATGGCACTTTAGTGAAAACCCACCTAAGAGTCAATACTTCCAGGGTCTTATTACAGGTATCATGAAGTATAGTGAATGAGATGCAGTTCTTGTTCTGGTAATGCCGGATTTTTACTTAAATAGTTTCTATAATATTTCTAATATTTGTTTTAGAAATTCGGGCGCCTATAGGTCAGTGCCAGCTCTTCGAAAACCAAGAGTGACAGAGAGAACAAGAGTGAGGTCGTGCGTTTGGTGAGAGGAGTGCTGTTTTGTGACCAGCAAACACTCGAATTACTTACGAAGGCTACACATATGCCGAAGGCTACGTTATGACGCAATTGAAGAGTGGCTGGCTTTGCTGTGCGGCTCGCACGTGAAGACAACCCTAACGACGGTCGACAAGGATCGCCAACTTCGCTATTACCTAATGCATTTTGAGCGTCTGATAGATAAATTAGTTCAATAATTGTCTTGATATTGTTTTAAGGTGTTTAACCTACAGAATGGCCCATATCTATAATATTACACACATCGACGAGAAGAAATTTAAAATGCATAAATGGGCCACGCGCACTATTTGGCTCCTGATAAAGACCTACCATATTGTTCACCATCAAACATGCGGCACATAGGTACGGTTACGTTTTAGCTGCCATCGGGCGCCCAAGCTTCTGTGGAATAACAAAAAACGATTATGACGGAATAGGCATATGACCTATTGTCGAACATAGCGAGTTTAAAAATCTAGTTGCAGGAGGGTTGTTACAAAAACGTCAACATGACACGAAGAATTTACAAAAATAAATCGTGATACACCTCTTCCAATCCAAACTGGCGGTAGTGTAAGGCAAAGTGGGCTTCAATAATTAAAGTAACACTTAAAAATAAAATATTGTTTTCAAAAATGAACTTAGATTAATGGGGATTTAGTGTTCCCAAACTGGTGGTTCAGAGCCAGAACCTCAATCTCAACTGCTCTCGCATGCCAAGCGAGCCTAAGCACGGGCTTGCCACTCGGACGCGGGTGCTTGGCGCACTGAAGAGCGGTAGAGACTGGATGCTAGTCGCAGACTGCAATGACATCGTGCTCACGGCATCCCGCAAGATCATTGACCGCGGGCCAACCGACGTCCAGACGAGAGGCAGCGCGCGTGCGGCATGTACGAAGTGCACGCCCGAGATAGAGGACGCCCTAGTGGCGTACCGCGAGAAAAATTGTCTGTTTACACTAAAGCAAGTGCAGAATATGCTGCGGTTTGGCTTTGGAGTTCGCGTAAGCACCTCCCTTACTAGTAAACAAACTGTGCAATAAGCTGAACACAGTCGAGAAGGTATAGTGATGTTTGTACTGAGATGAGATCATTTATATATATATGGCTTGCTAGGCAGGTTCGTATTGAGCCAAAAACTTGAATTCATGACGCCAACATTGAGAAGCGACGAGTGTTCGGTGAAGCTCTGCTTGCGCATGAGAAGGAAGGTTACTTTGTCGTTTCTTATGACGAAACGAAATACTATCTCTATTGTAAGCGCTCTCTATTTGGAAGCGAGAACTTGTAGCGCTTTCACCACGAACGTACAACTGCTGTGCGCGGTGTCGCCTGACGTCGGGCTGGTCCATTGGGCTAGACGCCGTGAAAGTATTAAAATGGAGGTAAATGCAGCGTTTCTAGACGACGTCTACAACGCTGTCAAGAAGACCGACGTTTACAAGAGCCATTTTGTCGGGAACTACTAAAGACCCGTGACAGAAGTACTACACCTTTGTGCACTCAACTTCGTAGTAAACAGAATTCAAACTCGTAACTTAAAATTTGGCAAACAGGAAAATTACGATAGGAGCGCATAATCAGTATTCAATATTATAGAAATCCA